TTTAGATGCTAAGATATATAGTAAATAAGTGGATTTGGAAACTCAGCGACCTTCATAATATAAATTATTCATGCCATCATAGGTAGCACATACTTCTTGCATAATAAATATTTTTACCGTAGTTACAGCATTTTTACATTTATGTTATACAAACAGTGGAGAGGAATCTAATTGTTTCTTGTTTCCTCTCATTTTATTGTTAACTCTTGTATAGCTTTGCAAGTAATGGACGCAAGGATGACTCTCAGTGTCTTCCAAGGAACACTTCAGTGAGTTTCAGGCACTTTGACAAAAGAGAAGCAATACAGCTTAGTGGGGTAAGACCAGCTTCCATCCTGCACTTTCTATCAAAGTGCAGAGATTCTCATTTTACTTGTGTGTGTAAACCATGCAGCATAGCAAATTGTGGAAACTTCATCGAGCCTGGTTTCCCATCTTCTGTCCTGAGGCTTCTTGGGAAAAGGGAGGTAATGAGGTACAGGGTTATGGGTAATTCAGATACTAAAAATGTGTGGGTGTTTTTAGGAATAGGCATCTTAAATTTAAATGCTTTTGTTTATTTTCTTAAATATGCAGTTCATATTTTTTTTGTCAAAATCAGTCTTGAGTTTCTACTGGCACTATCCATGTTAGTCAGTGGTAGCAGAGAGACATGGTGACTACAGGAGTCTAGAAGGCTCTCCAAGCCACTCATCCCAGGGATCTTACATGGAGTGGTGGATCCTGGCTTAAATGAACACAAAAGGAACCATAAAGGTGTTGGGTCCCTTGACAAAGACCATACATGGCTCTGAACCAGTGAGGAAGCTTTTGAGGAGACTAGCATTCATAACGGCCTATGCCAGGTTATTTTAATATGTGTGTGATTTTTGCAGTTAAAATCCAAAGATTGAGGTAAAATTTAAAGTATTTATATATAGATTATTGGCTAATCATTCCAGCTCATGTGTGGTCTCACTGGAATTCCTAATTCTTTTAAATATTTTTTGGTTTCCCACCTATAGCCATTTAGAGTACAGCAAGTAAGCTTTTGGTCTTCCTTCTTTTCAGTTTACATTTTAATGATTTAAATATGTTTTTATATATGCTCAATGTATGTCTTCCACTAATGAGAAGGAACAAAGTCATCTTTTCTACCTTGGTGACTTCCTGTCATAGAAGAAGTAACCTCAGTAGAGAGCTGGTTCTGCTAGCTAATTACTTTCTTAATAATAATAGCAGCTTAGGATCAACTACCCTAAAACACAAATCATCACTTTTATCAAAACTCTAATATCACAGTGACTTATATTCATCATTATACAGAAGACCAGTTCATTTGCTTTCCTGGGGGTATATTTTTCAACTATTGTTTTGTAGGATTCACTAGGATCTTATATCGTTTTATTGGGGTGATATTTAGATTTTTTTTCAGCTGCCTCAATGGTGTCTTCTAAAAATATCCAGACTAAAGTCTTTGAATCGAATCTATATTGTGAAGAATTAATCACCCATATGTGTGTGTGTGTGTATGCATGTGCATGTGCATGTGTGCATGCCTGGAGAAAATTCTATGTTGGTTTCTGAGGAAAATAATAGGCTGGCTTTAGTTCACCTTTCAGCAGACGTGGAGTTAATATCCATTGAGATGAAACACTTAGGCAGACTTTAAAGTATCATTATACAATTTCTAAAGCATTTGTTGTGTTGCTTCTTAAAGCATGTAGATTTGACATTAGCAACATGAAATATCCACAGTCTAGGGTGCACGTGTGTGCGTGTGTGTGTATGTGTGTGTGTGTACAAAGATGTCTCGGGTAAGCGGGCACAATTCACGATAGATGCTAACTTACATGGAGCTTGTGGTGGGAGCTGAAATTCTAGGACTTCTTGATGGAAGGGAGAGTCCTTCCTACATAAATCCATAATGACCTTGTGGTCTTGTACACTCAGCAGAGCAGGCCCTAGCAGGTAGACACACATGCCATGGCTGCACCCCACTCTCAACCACTCTGGGGGTCTCTTCTCTAGCTCCTCACAGCTCCAACTCTGAATGTGAGACGTTTCCTCACCTAGAGAGTAGGAGGGAGAGCACAGATTATGCTTCCTGATTGTACTGTGCTTGTTTGCAAATTTCCATGTGTGCAAGTGGCTGGAGTGTCCCTGGGTGTGCACACAGGCCAGGCTGGTGTCCAGTGGGCTCTGGACAAGTCTCGTGGCCAGAACAATTCAGGTTGTGGAAAAATACTTACTTAAAAAATGTTTTCACTTTTTCTGATTCACACATAAATAACCATACGAGTTAGCAATAGCCTTAGAATAAACTAAAATTAATATCCATATTGCCCAACCTTTAGCAAAACCACAGTTGTGGTAAATCATAATCTTGCATATTTGCTATAGAGAAATGTGGCCAATTCAGTTCTCTAGGCCCGAAGCTTTTTGAATTGTGTCCAGTAATGTCCCAAAGGTTCCATGAAATATTTAAACAGGCCCTTGAGGACAGAGTCAAGCAGAAGAGCCCTATTTTATTTCTGCTAGGGCACTTCACTTTTCACTCCTCGATACTGTTATGCAATACAGAAGTTTGAAGAAAAGCTTCTGGTTGCTTATGCAAGTATTCTCTCCATCTCTGCATCAAGGCAGGCCATCTGAGAGCTGTATACTTGAATTTCATTGCTTAACTCCCTGCAGAATCATTTTTACTGATTTGTACTTTGCCACTCAGCCTTGCTGTGTTCTAGGAGTGCTCCCAGACTCCACTGTATACAGATTTCCCTTATCTGCTTTATTGGGGAACATCATCTGTGTTTATGAGGACTCTCGGGGTCAATTCCATCGGTGCTTTTGAGCAGGGCATTGGATTCTTCTAAAAAAATAACAAAAAAAGAATACATTATTTTCTCCTATATACATCATAGCTGTAGTAGCTACTT